CTGAAAAGAAAAGATTTTGCAAGAGAATATATGACTTCAAAGGGCCTGATGGTTATTGCTCAAATATCGGGAACTGCATAACATTGGAGGATTATAAGATTATGGGGCTTAAATCTCATGATTATCATGTCCTAATGCAGCAATTGTTGGCTATTGCTATAAGAGGATTGTTACCGAAAGAGCCTAGAAAAGCGATACTTCGATTATCTAGATTTTTCAATAGATTATGCCAGCGTGCTATTGATAGAGAAAAGTTGCTGGACCTTGAGAATGAGATCATTGAAACTTTGTGTCAACTGGAACGCTTTTTCCCGCCGTCATTTTTTGATATCATGGTACATTTACCGGTTCATCTAGCAAGAGAGGCACGCTTGTGTGGTCCGGTTCATTTTCGTTGGATGTATCCTTTTGAGATGTTAGATTTTTATTATTATTCTTTTTCATGCTGAAATCCATTATGAAATTTTAATTTGACCATGGACAAGATTAAATTCTTTTATTCAGGTACATGAAGACACTAAAAAAATGTGTCCGAAATCCTGCAAGACCTGAGGGGTGTATTGCAGAGTGATACCTAGCTGAAGAGTGCATCGGCTTTTGTAGCGAGTTTCTAAAACAGTCAATACATGTGAAGGAAAAAGAAGTTCGCAATGAAGAATTTGAAAATGATGTCATTTTTGAAGGTCGTCCTATATCTAAGACTACTTCAATCACACTTACCGATAAAGAGAAAGATATTGCACATCGTTCAGTATTACTGAACACAGCAATAATGGATCCATTTTTAGAGTAAGTACATTGCTATTTTTATGTACTTATTTAGTTTGCTTTTCTATTTATTAGTTTTATTAATTCATATGGTCTTGTGTTCTTGTGTTCTATTAGTATGCATTTGGAGGAGTTGCAAGCAAAATATAAACAACTTGAAAAAAATCAGACCTTACTTTGGAAGCGGCATACTGAGAAAATTGCAGAATGGACAAAAAATAAGGTTATTTAAAATTAATTATCTCAAGTCTGATCTTGTATTTATTACTTAGCTAAGGTACACCATTTAACGCTTATATTAATATTTTGTAGATTCCTATTG